GGTTGGGGGGGGGGGGGGTCCCGTCCCAGCCCCTTGCTGGGGATGCTGGAAGGAGGGGGTGACCAGGGGGATCTGTGCCCCATGGGCTGGGGGGGGTGTGCTCCAGCTATAGCCTCATATAGGGACTAGGGGTGACCTCCAGCCCCCTGGAGATGGTTTGGGGGGTCCCATCCCAGCCCCTTGCTGGGGGTGCTGGGAGGGGGGGGTGTCCTTGCAGCACAGCTGGCAGCAGCCCGGGTGCCATGGCAACGGGAGGCAGCCTGCACTCTGTTGCCGTGACAGCAGCATCCGCAAGGGGTATCGGGAAATGGGGGGGGGGATAAGGGGGGGGCACCCCGCTGCCCACCCCAAACACACCCACCAACCCCATCCCTGCAGTGACCACCCTGCCTGGCTGTGCCCACCCTGGCTCTGCGGAGCCTCAACTTGGCACCTCTTTGCCCCAAAGTTTTGGCATCTAACCTATTACTTGGGGTTTTTGGGTGGTGGGGTTTTTTTATTTTTTATTTTTTTGGCCCTTGTTTAGCCCTTTTTGTGTGTGTGTGTGTGTGTGTGTGTGTCTCAGCACCGCCCGGGGAGATGCCGCTTGCCCAAGGCCTTGGCACAGGCCAGTTTGGCTCCCACCCCCATCCCACGCCAGCGCCTGGCCCTCCCCAGCACAGCCCTGTTGGGCAACGGGGACACAGGGGCATTGGGACAGAAGGGGGGCAACTGCCTGCTGTGGGTTGGTGGTCATCCCCCCCACCCCAACCCCACAGGGCAGACCAGATTCTGCGGGCAAGCACCAGCGCAGGGGTGGTAGCCAGCCCTGCTCAGCCCCCAGGGTCCGGTGCAGGAATAGGGAGGGGGGGGAGGCTTTGCCCACCCACCCAGTGCTGCTGTGAGGGGTGACAACTCTCTCAACCAAGGGACCCTCCACCCTGAGATGCTGTCACAGCCTGAGGGAGCGTGTGGTGGCCACGCTGGCCCCGCAGCAGCCTGGTGTTCATTAACCAGCGCGTTTTGCTGCTCTCAGCACTTCTGCCCCCGCTGCCGCAGCGGCACCCATGACACACACATCCCACCACCCCCCACAACCAAGGGCTGGCTGAGGGGCTCCTGGGGCACCCCATCCCACCCCCCCGCCCCCCCCAAC